GGATGACTGCAGACATGCTACTAATATGGCTTTTAATAAAATGGCAGAAAGCATGGCACCTTCGAGTAGGTCTCCGGTATCTGAAATTCCAGGGTCTATTGCTAACCCAGGCATTGGAGATACAGGATACAAACCTCTTTATCCATGGGAGGATTTGAAACAAAAGTCAGTGACAAATCTCCCTGCGGCTCCAACTACAACAACCACAGTGTTGAATCCTGATAATTCTGGAGAGATTCAGCTGGTTACTAAGCAGTTGAAGCCACAGGAAATGGATGCTATAGTTAGAGAAATAGGGCAGGTCCCTCAGCAGGATATCAATCGCTTTTTGCAATGGTTTTGTGGATTTCAAAGAGTGAAAGAGATGTATAGTTTGACAACTAGTGATATGGAGAGGGTGCTGCAGAGAGTTGTGGGAAATGGATTGTGGGTCAGGATTGTACAGACATGTGGTCAGCAGCGTAGAACTAGGGATATGTTGAAAGAGATCTTGAGAGCACTTTATGGAGTTACATCAAATGTGTCATTGTCTGGAAAAATTAAACAGCTGAAACAAGAGTCTCCGTATGAATTGTCAGCTAGAATCTCCACAGTGATGGAACAGTTTGGTGTCAGTAATCCTGGTTTTGAAGCGGGAGGGCTGGTGCATAGATCAATGTTTTTGAATGCATTAGAGCAAGATATTAAAGATGAGATATTATCTGTAACCCCAAACCCATCAGAAATGTGTGATTTACTGTTAAGAGCTGATAATTTGTGGCGAAGAAAGGTTAAAAATGAGAGTTTTGCTGTAGATGCTGCAAGGATTTTCAGAGTAGAGAGGAGAGACAGGTCTGCAATGTATCCTCAGAAACCATTCAGGGGAGATAGATTTCAGCATATGGGAAATTTTAGATGTGAGAATGAATCTGATAGTAACAAAAGACAGAGAGATCCACAGAGGGACCATAGGAATAGGGATAGTGCCAAAGGGAGCAATGTAATGGGAGATAATTGGAGAAATAGATGGGATGAGCCTCAGGTAATTAACAATAATTGGAATAATAATAATAACTGGGAGAGGCTAAAAAGGAGAGATAATAACTGGAGAAATAACAGTTGGGGAGAAAAACGAAGAAACAACAGGAACAGTTATTGGGAGAATTCTTGGAGAAGGAACCATAGATGGGCTGATCAGACCAGTAGACGGAATTGGGATAATTGGAGGAATAAAGAAGGGAATAGAGAATACTGGGACCTGAAGAAACAGACTGAAAGATTGGAGGCAGATGTAAAAGCGCTTAGGGAACAGATGAGAAATGAGGGAAAGATTGATCAATTGAGGGTTCCCAGCAATTAACTACCATAATTTTTTTTTTTCCTCTACATCTGTATGTATGTTCGTTTTTCTTTTGTTTCTATATATGGTTACCAATAAAAATAGCCTTAAGCTGCTTTTTATCTTTGTATGGCAACAGACCGTTGTCAGTTTTCTATAGATTGCATGCTGACAAACATCTTTGAATCTTAGTTTTTTTTAAAAAAAGGGATATAACAGAGCTTCAGATTGGAAATGGAGTAATGTTGCAAGATTTTTCCCCTTACCACCCATTTCTAAAACCAAAATGGAAAGGTCCATATATTGTGCTTGACAAAATTGGTCCTTCTGTATTTGTTAGATGTGGGAGATGAGAACTTTATGCCAAGTTAATGTAAATGTTAACATAGTATCTTAGTTCTCATTTACAGATAATAGGAGATGGAGTGGATCCCTGGAAGAGCAGCCCACAGAAGGACTATGAAGAGCAAGAAAACAGCAGTCGTGATGTGGTGGTCATGTGTATCGTTTTTTATGTATATACTGTATAGCTTAGAAAAAGGGAATGTCATGATGAAGAATAATAATAAAATGGTACATCGGAGTACTCCAGTAGAGGGTTATCATAGGGAGAAAAGAAGTTCAGAAGATTCAGAGAATATCATAGTAACATTAAAAGTAAAGGAACAATCACCTGACGTTACATGTAAAGATAATCTTACAGTGGTTGGGCCTATAGGGGGGTGGATAGTGATACAATGTAATATTTCAATGCCTGAAACTAACCTTCCCTCTGAATTTGCAGTTTGGAAATATCCAGGAGGAAGTGATTTACATAAGAGTACAAGTATATTTTGGGCCAATACCACAAATGAAATGAGGATAAAGATGCTGCAGGAAAGAAATTTTACATTTTCCCAGGATGGTGTTGTAACATGCAGCCCCCATCAGACTGGATTACATGATACAGTTGACCCAGCAATTAACATAAGAATTATAAATTCTCAGGACTGTCCAACTACCACCCTGTGGCCAGAGCATGGCCTTTTCTTACAACCAACACAAACCATTGTGTATACTGATGTATCTTATGTAACATTACCGTTATTGTTAAATTTTTCATTATTTAATATACCAGAGAGTTGCCCAGAGATGATGAAAGAATGGTTTAAAAACGTATTTCAAGCACATATTAATCTATTCTTGGATGCAACACAGGGGCTCAAGTTTAGAGAGAGAGAAAAAAGGGATCTGGGTACTGATATAATCTCAGGACTCAGTTTGGGAACATCAATTTGGAATAGGGCAGACATAGAGGGTCTTAACTCACGAGAACAAATTTATGTTAATGGGTTGCAGCAAATTATGCTTAAAGAGGGACGAGTGGATTTTAACACTCTAGCTGAAACTGATGTCACGATACAGAACATTCACACAGTTGCTGCAGATTTGCAGTGGATTAATATATCTGTGAATGCTCTCAGAGAATCAGTTAATAACAATAATGTATCTAAAGCTATGGTATGTGGTATAGTTGGAAATTTACTAGACGAACATCTAAATTTAGGCCTCCAAGAAATAAAACGAGGGGAATGGCCCAGAATAATCAATTCTACCCTAGTCTTTGATCTGGTTAGGGAATATGGCATAAATTGTCAGAATGTAGTCCTTTCCAAAATTAAAGGTCTGCAGAGTTGGTGCAATAAGAGCAAATTAGGAAAAAAGGTAATTCCATTAATAATTGACATTCCAGTTTGGACAGAACAGCCTGTACCTGTTTATAAGATGACTATGTTTGGTGAGTTGGAAGTGGCTAATCGCACTAATGTTTTAAAGCAATTCCTTCCACAAACTCGCTTAGTAATAAAAGAAGACCAGTTCTGGAAAGTTATCAACCCCAGTTGCTGTGACAGACCTGGTAATGCTTGGCTTTGTTCCTGTGTACTAGAACCACTAGTCCAGGCAGATGGGTGCATGGTGGAAAACTCAGGGAGCTGCCCTGTTCACCTTCACAAACCCATAGATGGTTGGAAAAGAGTGGTGCACGGACAGGGTCCCACGATCTGCGCACTGGGAGTATCTTCAGTTCTGTGGCAGCAAACTATACAATGTAGGGTACCCCCAACAGGATGGTGTGTTAATCTTACCTATGGCTCCATGAAAGTGGGCAAAGAGGTCATAAGAGCCAATATCCAACTCACACAAAGATCTATGGACGTGGTACAGGAAGATCTAGGAAATTGGAATAAAATGGCCCCCTCACTTTTTAAGAAATTCCCACCACTTAATGTAGATTTGGATACATTATTTAAAAGAAATAATTGAAGGGTTGTGCAATTGCAAGAGCTGGTGAAGGAAAATATAGCTAGCCTTAATGATTTAAGAAATAGTTTTCAAGAGCCCTGGTGGAGCATACCCTACAATACTTACACACACCCAGGATTAAGAACTGCTTCTGTGATATTTGTTTGTCTACAATTTGTTTTAATATGTTCTCTATTCATTTTATATTGCTGTTGGAGGAAAGAACTAAAAAAAAATCCATACAAAGCAGGAAAAATTAGAGTAGGGATATAAAATATATGTGGGGGTTCATGTCTTCCCTTGATTTTTTTTTTTTATATACAGAAATCAGAGTGGGAGGCGGGGTTGTATGTGAATAATCTCCTTATTAGATCTTATTCAAGTGGGGGAGTGTTGGGGAAAATATTATGTATATATCTGTTTAATATGTGCTTGATTAAGTCTGTGTGTATGGGAGGTCAGGAATTATCTTCAAAGGGAGTTTCTGTTTAGATAGCTGGAAAGATACAGCACCTGAAAGGCACCAATCACATTTACATATCAACTGGTCTTCAAAGGAGTCCCTATCTAGGAAAACACACCTTGGGTTAGAGGGAAAGGGATGGCTGGGAGAGTTGACACTTAAATAAAATAACAGGATAGACAACACTTTGGGCCTTGGGAAAAGAAATCACATTTACATATCAACTGAGCTGAGGAATTTGGTATTTACAACATGGGAACCAATTCCTTTAAAAATAGAAGATACTGACATCACATTAGATTAGGTTTGGTAAGACACACAAGCTGCACATAACATCTCACAGCACATACACAATGTAGCCAATATTATTATACACAATGTAGCAGATAGTATTAGATAGATGGAATGTATGCGTGTTGTGAATGTATTGTAACTGTAATACTATAACTCTGTAACATTCTTCTTCTGTAATATTTAATTGGGCAGATTCTAAGTAAAGATTTCTCTCTGGTAAGAACTATGGTGTTGGCTGTTTATTTGTAATATTGGGTAGAATACCTTAGTAGTGCTAGTCATATATTTATCTGGGCAAGGGGATAAAGATATATGTTAGTTCTTGGAAGAGGTTACACAGGGATATTACATTCACTATTAAAAACACAACGCAGAGTGGATTTCTCTCAAAAGGATACCAATTGGAAGTTTTGGTGGTGAGAGAAGGATTATACAACACACCTGACCCACATAGGAGCCGTAATAGACCGGATTAGGGAGTCCGGACTGACCCTAAAGCCCAGTAAGTGCCATATAGGAACGTGTAAAAACCTCCCCAAGATAGTAGTATGGGCCCCAGAGTGTGAACAGGCCTTCCAACAGCTCAAGACGGCGCTCATTAAATCACCTGTACTTTCTTCTCCTGATCCAACTAAACACTTTCTCGTCCATACAGACGCTTCTATGCTTGGATTGGGAGCAGTAGTGAGCCAAGTCGGAGCAGATGGTGGCTAGCAACCCGGGGCTTATCTAAGCCGTAAACTTTTGCACAGCAAAGTATATTCACTGCCATTGAAAAGGAGTGCATGTCGGTGGTGTGGGCCCTCAAAAAGCTGCAACCTACTTGTATGGACAACCGTTTACCTTACTCACAGATCACAACAAATTTGGGGCACTGCGCGTGCAATCTAATGTGCCACCAGATAGGAGTGGTGTGTTTAGTACTATTGTTATCAGTTTAATCACTGTTACGTCCCCTATCCGTTGATGTGGAGCAAGACGCAGCAGCAGAAGAGGACTAAGCCGAGGAGGTTATGGAAGAGGATGGAGTAGGAGGAGTAGAGGAGGTGGCAGCGTACTGGCAGAGTACACGCTGTAGGGCTGACACACCTGCTTGAAGATAACTAACTGCTATTCAATCTATAACAGTGAAAAAAGTTTTTTGTTTTTAAATCCAAGCTATTGTGACACCAGTGAGTGAGTGGTGGCACTGGGCACAGTATCCACTGTGAGCCTGACACACCCGCTTTGAGACAACTAACTGCTATTCAATCTATAATTGATGTTTGTTTCACAGGCAGAAAGTGCCCTAAAACATGGCGGCTTGAACCCTAGTTGGTGGCGGATAAGTCACGCAAGTCAACAGGCATTCAGAGCTAAAATACAGCAGCGTGTGGACCATTTTTAGCACAAGGCAGCTCATCTCATCAGGCCTTTTTTAATCTAATGTATCGCCCAGTGTCAGTCCCTTCGGGATCCATCCCTCATTCATCTTAATAAAGGTGAGGTAATCTAGACTTTTTTGACCTAGGCGACTTCTCTTCTCAGTGACAATACCTCCTGCTGCACTGAAGGTCCTTTCTGACAGGACACTTGAAGCGGGGCAGGCCAGAAGTTCTATCGCAAATTGGGATAGCTCAGGCCACAGGTCAAGCCTGCACACCCAGTAGTCAAGGGGTTCATCGCTCCTCAGAGTGTCGATATCTGCAGTTAAGGCGAGGTAGTCTGCTACCTGTCGGTCGAGTCGCTCTCTGAGGGTGGATCCCGAAGGGCTGTGGCGATGCGTAGGACTTAAAAAGGTCCGCATGTCCTCCATCAACAACACGTCTCTAAAGCGTCCTGTCCTTGCCGGCGTGGTCATGGGAGGAGGAGGATGACTTCCACCTCTCCCCCTGTTAGATTCCCGTTGTGCTGTGACATCACCCTTATACGCTGTGTAAAGCATACTTTTCAATTTATTTTGCAAATGCTGCATCCTTTCATACTTGTTGTAATTCGGTAACATTTCCGCCACTTTCTGCTTATACCGGGGGTCTAGTAGCGTGGACACCCAGTACAGGTCGTTCTCCTTCAGCCTTTTTATACGAGGGTCCCTCAACAGGCACGACAGCATGAAAGACCCCATTTGCACAAGGTTGGATGCCGAGCTACTCATTTCCCGTTCCTCCTCCTCACTGATGTCAATGAAGGTATTTTCTTCCCCCAGCCACGTACAACACCACAGGTACCAGATAGGTGACAACGAGCACCCTGGGATGCCTGTTGTGGTTGGTCTTGCTCCTCCTCTTCCTCCTCCTCAAAGCCACATTCCTCCTCTGACTCCTCTCCTCACAATCCTCTTCCAGCGTTGCCGCAGGTCCAGCAAGCGATGCTGATAAGGCTGTTTCTGGAGGTGATGGTGACCACAACTCTTCCTCTTCCTCTTCATGCTCATCTACGGCCTGAACCAGCACTCTTCGCAGGGCATGCTCCAGGAAGAAAACAAATGGTATGATGTCGCTGATGGTGCCTTTGGTGCGACTGACTAAATTTGTCACCTCCTCAAAAGGACGCATGAGCCTACAGGCATTGCGCATGAGCGTCCAGTAACGTGGCAAAAAAATTCCCAGCTCCCCAGAGGCTGTCCTAGCACCCAAATTCCAACTTGTCGTGCTGTCGCAAATCAAGCGCCTCACTGGCATGTTGTTTCGCCGCTGGATATCGGCAAAGTTAGCCATGGCCGTGTAGGAACGCCTGTAATGGCCACACACCTTCCTGGCATGCTTCAGGACGTCCTGTAAGCCTGTGTACTTATGCACAAAGCGTTGTACGATCAGATTACACACATGTGCCATGCACGGCACATGTGACAACTTGCCCAACTTCAATGCCGCTAACAAATTTGTTCCGTTGTCACAAACCACTTTGCCGATATCCAGTCGCTGCGGAGTCAGCCACTTTTCCACCTGTGCGTTCAGGGCGGACAGGAGTGCTTGTCCGGTGTGACTCTCTGCTTTCGAGCAAGTCAAACCCAAGACGGCGTGACACTGCCGTATCCGGGATGTGGAATAGTACCTGGGGAGCTGGGGGGGTGCCGTTGATGTGGACAAGACGCAGCAGCAGAAGAGGACTCAGCTGAGGAGGTTATGGAAGAGGATGGAGTAGGAGGAGTAGAGGAGGTGGCAGCAGGACTGCCTGCAAGTCGTGGCTGTGTCACCAACTCCTCTGCAGAGCCATGCATTCCATGCTTGGCAGCAGTCAGCAGGTTTACCCAATGCGCAGTGTAGGTGATATACCTGCCCTGACCATGCTTGCAGACCAGGTATCAGTGGTCAAATGGACCCTTGCCCCAACACTGTGTGCCAGAGATGCTATTACTTCCTTTTGCACAATTGAGTACAGGTTGGGGATTGCCTTTTGCGAAAAGTAATTTCGGCGGGGTACCTTCCACTGCGGTGTCCCAATAGCTACAAATTTTTTGAACGCCTCAGACTCCACCAGCTTGTATGGTAAAAGCTGGCGGGCTAATAGTTCGGACAAGCCAGCAGTCAGACGCTGGGCAAGGGGGTGACTTTCTGACATTGTCTTCTTAAGCTCAAACATGTCCTTGACAGACACATGACTGTGGGAAGATGAGCGTGAACTGCTCAAGGCGGGAGGCGGAGTGGCAGATGGTTGAGAGGGGACAAGGAGGACAGCACTGGTTGACGTGGCTGAAGATGCTGGACCAGGAGGAGGCTGGCGGCTTAGAGTAGGCGAGCTGCTTGTACTCATGTGTTGATCCCATAGGCGTTTGTGATGTGAGATCATGTGCCTACGCAAAGCAGTTGTGCCTAGGTGGGTGTTGGACTTCCCACGACTCAGTTTCTTTTGGCACAGGTTGCAAATGGCATCGCTGTTGTCAGAGGCAGACACACAAAAAATGCCACACTGCTGAGCTCTGCAATGACGGCATTCTGGTGGTGGTAACAGCATGCGTTGATTGGTGTGCTGTCTGGCTGACCCTGGGTGCCGATGCATGCTGTCAGACTGTGCCACTAGCTCCTTGCAACAACCTCCCCCTGCTTCCAACTCGTCTCCTCCTCCTCCTCCTGTCTCCCCACATCTGGGCTTTCGCCCTGTTCTTTGCTTCTTGCCGAGCGGGCACCCACGTGACATCCATGGACGCATCATCATCATCAACCGCTTCACTTGTATCTGACAACTCAGCAAAGGAAGCAGCAGCGGGTACAACATCATCATCATCATCACACCATACGTCCATGTGTGTAATGCTGCCTGCCTGAGACATATCCCTGTTATCTACATCCTCTGGCAATAATGGTTGCGCATCACTCATTTCTTCAAATGGATGTGTGAATAACTCCTCTGACATACCAACTGAAGCGGCTGTGGTGCTAGTTTTGGTGGTGGCGGCAGGCGGGTGAGTGGTATCTTGAGAGGTGCCTGAAGCTAAGCTGGAGGAGGATGGTGCGTCAAGGTTCTGGGCGGAGGCTGTAGAAGATTGGGTGTCCTGTGTTAGCCAGTCAACTATGTCCTCAGAACTTTTCAAGTTCAGAGTACGTGGCCTCTGAAAACTGGGCATTATTCTAGGGCCAAAGGGAATCACAGCACCACGACCACGATGGCCTGGGCGGGGTGGCCTGCCTCTGCCTGTCATTTTTGTTGGGATTAGTGGTACTATGCGTGCAAGCTACTGTGAGACCAGATATGAGTAGCGTATAACGTTGTGCAAACAAAGGAATGACTGACACCAGCTTGAAGATAACTTAACTTTGCTATTCAATCTATAACAGTGAAAAAAGTGTTTTTTGTTTTTAAATACAAGCTTTGTGTCACCAGATCTAAGTGGTGGCAATGGTCACCGCATCCACTGTTAGCGTAACACACCCGCTTTAAGGACACTGACTGCTATTCAATCTATAACAGTGAAAAAAGTGTTTTTTGTTTTTAAATACAGCTTTGTGTCACCAGATCTAAGTGGTGGCACTGGTCACCGTATCCACTGTTAGCGTAACACACCCGCTTTAAGGACACTGACTGCTATTCAATCTATAACAGTGAAAAAAGTGTTTGTTTTTTTTTAAATACAAAGAGCTTTGTCTCCCCAGATCTAAGTGGTGGCAATGGTCACCGTATCCACTGTTAGCGTAACACACCCGCTTTAAGGACACTGACTGCTATTCAATCTATAACAGTGAAAAAAGTGTTTTTTGTTTTTAAATACAGCTTTGTGTCACCAGATCTAAGTGGTGG